GCTCTTATCGCCTCGCGATCGACGGCGATCCAGAATAAAGACGCTGAAAGTTGCTATTTGAAAACTGACGCTTCAAGTACCGCCGCTTTAATCATCATCTAATTGCCGAGGTCTGTGAAGTTTATCCTCCACGGAAACCTGCTCGACACGCTGAGCGCCGGGTCAGCCACATCTGGCTGACGCGCGAGTTTCCGCAGGAATCTCCCATCTTGGAAAAAAGTTCCCCTGCTTGTGGCTGATGGTTCTACTCGCCTGATTAGGGCAACGATTGTACTGAGCATTTGGGAAAGAATCTCGGGTGGAAAAAACGATGAAACATCGTTGACACAACACAGCGAGGAGTTCGGCCTGATGAGAGATTCCCACGTGAACCTATCGTGCCGGCCGGCGCGATAAGGCCACTCGCCAGATAATATTCCAGATGATATTATTATTTATTTATATATAACCTCCGATACTGCGAACTTCCTCTTCTCTCAACGATAACTATCTCCGCGAGTGCCGCTGAGCTTTCGATCGTTAGCGTATCGACATGATATCCCAGTAAAAACAAATAAGCGATAATATCGCGCAGTATTTATAAAGAAAGCACGAGGTAGAAGGAGGAAGGTAGAGAGGGAGAGCCAACTTCCGCGGGTCATTGTTAATCGTAATTCAAACCGACTTGTTATCATGAACAGAAAAGAGAGAGCGGAGGGAGCGCGGGGGGAGGGGGAAGACGGAGAAAGAGCAAGAGGCGTCAGGCGACGGCAGAGTCATGATCATGCCAAGGCCGGCGACGATCACGTCTCGAATAAGTCGACAGACCGGCAAGACCTCGACGACGTTATCGCCGTCTTTGCCTGTGTAAAGATCGCTATTCGCATTATCGTCCGCGCGTATACGCGCGTGTTGCTCCGTGTGGATTTCCGTCATTGAGCTGCAAAAATCTCTCTTTCTTTCGCTCCTTTTTCTCAGACAATTCAATTATACGTTTCGCGGCTGCGTCATTATATATACAGGGTGTTTCAAAAAGGGCGCACTGGCTGTATGTGTAGAGTCTTTTTCTCATTGAGATAAACAAACAAGTTCCTATAAACATGCCTAAAACTTTTAATTAGAAAGTACCTGAAACGTTTAATTAAATTAATTAATTAATTAAAATTTATCGTACATATCACGTTAATATTGAGATACGTTAATCTTCTTGCTCTTGACTCGTTACATTAATTTTTCAGCTAAGCGCTTGAGCAGCTACGTTCGCAGAAACTTCCTGTCTTTATCTCGATGAGAAGAATATAATCATACCCAAAAAAAATATTCTATTTGTAAAGTGATTTTTCCCATGGTCTCATATTCTAAGCGAAGCCTTTTACGGAAAAAGGATTCCTCTTTCGATCAAGCGATTAACGTGAACCATTTATTTAAAATTTATTAGATATTATTCTAACGGTTTTCCTCTTATTTCAAGAGGATTTTCTCTTATATCAATTAATTTTCCTCTTATATGAAAAGGAATATGTTGATTCGAATGTCGGCTTCTTTTGTTCAGTCATGCCCTACTTCCAAACATGAACGAAAAATAACTATATGCTCATAGCTCAAAATATTTAGAACGCTTCTTAAAAAAGGCAAGAGGTTGAATAATATATTTTTTCTTTTTATTTCAATTACAATTGATTATGATGAACATCTTTGTAGCTATAAAGTCCATAACAAAACTACTTGGAAATTTATTTGTTATGATGATCTTATTTCATTTGTGCCTACTTATTGTAAAATTGGAGTCAGAAGTACATCTATATATACTATTTTTCGCTATTTTTATAATAATTTTTTCAAATTAACTAGTATAACCAGTAAAAATAAATGATAATCCTCTTAAAAAAGATTAAATAATCTGCATCTAAGAGGAAATTTATATTAAAATCAATAAGATTTGCATTATACATATGACACATAATTCCTCTCACTTTAAGAATGATGTGTTTATATTTTCCTTTTAATTTTAGAGGAATCCTCTTGAGGGGCCATATGAGGATAAAATCCTCTGAAATTTAGGTGATTCTGTTCTGAAATTATTTTTTTTTTGGGTATATATTTTGGGTATACAGCCAGCAACTCTTCTTGAAACATCCTGTATAATTCATTTTATGAGACCGCGGAGTTCGTACGACGCGCTAAGCTCTCGATAAAGGACAGGCTCTTTCGTCGTCACGTCATCGTGCGGGATATTTCTCATCGACGAGGAAAAATGAGATCGTAAGAAGAGAGCGAGTCGCCGCGAGGCTTCGATTCGAGCCCGGTTCACCCTTCAGGATCGGAAACGGAGACGGATTGATAATCCCGAGCGTGACAGCCACGTGAGAAGCGCGTGATCCTTTCGTTTCCAAGTAATTATCGCGTTATCAAGAGGCTGTGGCTCGCGTTGCGGTGGGGGAAGAGGGCGACGGGAGGAGCGGGGGAGGGGAGAAAAACCACGCGGGGACGATCGATAAATCGTCGGCGTGCCGTTCGTTCATGGGTCGCGGCGCTCGTCATCCACCTGCGACACATGTGTGTCGCGGCGTTCCGCGATAATTACATATTTTCTCGCATAATTGCTTCAACGCATGCAAAATCGCAAAATGCGTCTCAGGAATTCTTCTCGTGCGCTGCATTTCATCAGCGGTCACGTAAGCGATTGAGGAGCCCGTCAAGGGGGGCAGGGGACGCGAGCTGGACGTTCTTGCGATTCACGGTAGGATTCCCGACGTCTGCGGGAGAACGAGGAGATTTATCGTCTCGCGGACTTCTCGAAAACGCCGGAGTGCACGTTGGAACGCGACGGACATCGCGGAGGATCCTCGCTGCGAAGAAACGAGAATCCAACACCACCACGGCGGGGAGTCGCGACGCGAACGTGGAAAGAACGTGAAATCTCGCGTTGCGAACATCTTGCGGATACCCGAATACACGCGTTAATTACTTCGACAGCGCGGCTGGAGCCTTCATTAAGCGCGAGCCGCCACTCACGTGTTCGTCGCGTCTTACGTAACAGTATTACCGACGCGAGACGATAGATACATTATAGACGTTAATTAATATCTCGTAGGGCGGACCTCGGGATCGACCGTGGAAATCGCGCGTTGATATTACGCAGTCCCTCGTTATACTCGCGTTGAGACTGAGAGCGCTTGGAGATAAAATCTTTCTCTCTCTCTCTCTCTCTCTCTCTCTGGTTAAAACGCGAACCGCGCACAACTCGCGTTATTAATAAAAGAGAGTTTTTACGCGGCCGAGCACGCGGCCGGTTCGTGCGCGCGCGTGCTCTTAAAGGAGAGCGAACGATATCGCGGAACGCGCGATCGATACGCGAGCATGTCGGCCGATGAACCGTCCGTCGTGTGCGACCGCCCGATCGAGCGGAGCGGAGCGGAGAGCGAGCGAGCGAGAGAGGAGAAATTTCAATGTTCGCGCGATGTGTGCTGGCGGGAAGCACGCGGGGTGCCGCGGTGCGACGCGCGTGTGCGGCGCGAAAATACGATAAATGAAAATTAATCCTTATCTAGGCGCGCGCTCTGACGCACAGAATGCAGCGAATGAAAAGACGGTAGGAGAGCGGGGGAGGCTGGGGGGAGGGGAGGGGGGCAAGACAGGGTGACAGTCCGCTGGGGTCTGGCATTAGCGGCCGTCCCCTCGATCCTCTCCGACGGGAAAGCTATCTGCGGGGTTAATAGGACTTGGACCGGACAATTTGATTCGTTTATTATAGTTGTAAGAACAAGATGCGCGCGCGACTGCGTCGGAGATTCGCGGCGCCGTCGAACGTGCCTCGATCTCTCTCTCTCTCTCTCTCTCTCTCTCTCTCTCTCTTGTGGCTTCTCTTTTATTACGTTTTATTGGATCCTCCGGTTCTCCATTAGATCCTGGTTTTCCATTAGATTTACATTAGGATCGATTCTTCTTCCGTGTGCCTGCTTCTTGATCGTTGGATTTCTTCCTCCGAGGGTTGCTTGATAATTAACATTCGCGAAGCTTCCTTTCTCTGGGAGGAGCTTTGTAGATCCAACGTAAGAACGTACCAGTGTTCAACATGTCGGAGACATCGGAATGATGTATGCGTGTACATGCAGATCTGTTCGCGGAGGAGCGGGAAGAAAAAGAGAATTGAGAGAAAAAGAGAAATGAGAGAGAGAGAGAGAGAGAGAGAGAGAGAGAGAGAGAGAGAGGGAAAGAGAGAGAGACCCGATCACGAACTTCGAACTCTCCTCGTTCCGCGACATTGTCGCGCACGTCAGAACACTTCGAGGAGATGATTTGCAAGTGAAATTCGCCGCTACCGCGACATACATCTTTCTTTTCCTGCATTAAATTTTTCTATTTCGCAACAACGACCAGTGATTATTCCTGCGGCTTTAATTCGCTAGCATTCGTATGCGTCGGGGAACTTTTCCGTGTCAATCGCGATAAGAAACTGATACGTGACTTTTAGCTCGGGGAAAACCTTCCCTTCATTGATTTTGATATACACATCGCCACGAGCCACAAGTACTACTGGCATGTCAAAATGCCATGCTCAGTCGCAGCTGCAACAGCCGCGAGGATCGCCTGCGGGAGTTCCTCACACAGACCTACAGCCCTTGAACTCTCGCTGGTTGCCTTTGGTGTCTCGGCTTTTCCATCAGCTCCCCTTGGTCTTCGTCGGCCTCTCCCATACCCTCGAGCAGAAATGTCACGATCCGCGCATCACTGAGAAGGACGCGGCGGTATTTATTCGCCCCTCACATTACAAGCAACTTGCGACGAGTGTGAATTCTCGATCGAGTGTCCCGTCCGTCGGAATACCTATCTATAGAAATCGCGGGCGAAAACAACCTCTCCAAGGAGTCGCAACCCCGAGGTGATGCGGCGTCTCCGCGTCGCCGGGGTGGCCTCTTCGAGTGCCGACTTTAGTGGTCCGCCGCCGCGCGTATCTTCGATAAGCGAACGTCGCGAACGAGTCGCTCCATTATGGGGAAGAAGGACGCGCTGGAATTTACCTGCGTCGTCGGCGAGGATCGATGAAGAGCGCGCTGTCCCGCGTTGCGTCAAGGCGCGCTGCGCCTCCGCTCCGGTTTCCGCGCCGGAAAGCGGCCGCCGATCGTCGTTCAGCCCGACCGCTCCTCTCGAGACGTGCGCTGAATATGCGTCTTCGCGTTCTCGCACCTGTCCTCCTCGATTTCCTCGATTTTCTCTGAACGAAGAACCGTTCACACCGGCGACGACCAACGAACGTGTGACGTGCGCTCGCCGATAATCTTGCCGTAACTGGCGGATTTTCACTGCGTGATGACCGGACGACCAGTGACGTGGCAAGGGCGTACGTCTCCTGGGGGCGTTCAGCCCCAGCTCAACTTTCAATCACACCCTTCTCGTATTCTGTTCTTTTCTCGCATTTTAGCTCGAAAGACAGATCTTCCATTTTCGTATAGTATGAACAAATGGAAATTTGCTGTTTAAAAGTCGCTCCAGATTGCAATTCTTAACCGGTCGAGACGATTTTTTTAAAAGTAATTGTTGATAAATTTCCAAGAAAACTTGGGAGAAAGCTCGATTTCTTGAAAAGGCTCTCTGAAATACTAGTAACAATCTAAAAAACATACATTTCTTTGAAGTTGATGGTGAAGTTGACAGCTGTCAGTGGTCAAATCTTAATTCTAACCTCAGACCCGTAGTCAGCTGTCCAGAAAATCCTTATGTTTAGATAGCTTAGTGCAAAAACAACTTTAAAAATAACATTTTTCTAATTCAACTTCTAGTTAACAATCACTTCCAGATTGATCTTAACGTTTCAGGCGGCCTTTTTTCAAAATCGAGCTCCACAGTTTTCTTAGAAATTTACAACCGATTAATTAAAAAAAAAATCGTCTCGATTGATTAAGAATTACAGTCTATAGGGATTTTTGAATAGTAAATTTTCGTTTATCCCCACTGTGTATCGGTGCGAGCGGCACGAAGTTTTGTCGTTTACTGTGAAACAATTTTCAGTTTGTTATTAGTATGGCAGCTAGAGGACGCTAACAAACGTTGAAGAAAGAAACGTTTCCTTTTCTCACTTTCTTCCTCGCACCTAAGACGCTTTCTACTGTGTGGTATTTTTTGAAAAAAGACGTGTGTCTTCATGTCCTTGATTTTTAGCAAGTTTTGCTTTGCATTCCCTTCTTTTCTGGTGGTTTCATCTTGCTCTTCAACATTTATCAGGCGTCATCGGGGTCTTTCAATTTAGGTAGACTCGAGTCGAATACGTCATGTCTAAATTTTCGCGCGTTACGACTCGGGGTTGCGGTTTAACTTTAACAACTACGAGTGTTTTTGGCGCGTGTTGCTTATCATCGTCATACTTGATTCCTGGACACTTCTGGTATGGAGCGTTAAACGCAAAATCGAACTACGAGAAACGAGTCGGGCGTGTCGAATCGACCGACGGGAGAAAATCGCCTGGAATTTTCCAAGCGACGATCGTCATACATGATCGTCTAGATACGTTCCACTTGGAATATCAGGCCGGCAAGGCCATTGCGGCACGAGAGCGAGCGTGCTGTTCTGCCGGTGAATTGAATAGAACGATCCTCATGGTGGGTTTTGAATGAAACAGCTGACTCATCGGAGCACGGCTATTGGTCGTTTCTGTTCGAGTCGTCTGTGCATCCACGAGCGTCGGTGTTCCGAAAGTGTGGCGTTGCATGCGGCCATTAGAGGTAAATGTGCAAAATTGGCAACAATCGGTTCGTCGTTGATTATCATTTACACGGAGATAGGGTCTTAACAAAATAAACAAAATAAATGGACTTCCGAGGCTCTTCACGTTTCGGTGTCCTACTTGCCTCGCCTCGCGAGGAACGTCATTGGACAATTGTTGGGACTTGGGAGCTTCTCTCTCGAATAACTCTCGCAAGTATTTGAATAAATAAAATAAAACTGTTATCCTTAAAATATCCCAGTATCTCATCTAGATCGGGGATCATCTAGCATCTCTGTTAACATAAATATCTCTAGAGGAGTTTAATATCTTAATATTATTAGTTTAATATTATTAGTCTAAATTTAATGTATTAATTTATATTTAATATTAGTTTAATATTATTAGTTTAAATATCTCTAGAGGAGGCGGGTTCGTCGCCGCGATGGTCCGTCCTTTAGTCCGTCGCGCGCTAGAAACGGCATTGTCGTCCTGATCGTGACGCAGGCGCAGACGTTGGAAGGGGGTCTGCCTTATCAACCGAGATTACCTCTCGGGATCTCGGCTTGGTCGCATCCGAGGAGACGCATCGCGTGAAAATGACGGGAACACCTTGCGGCGCGGACGAACGCCGCGTGTGATCGCTCGCGTGTGAATCCTCGCGACATTTTCGTCCTCAGCCGGAGGCGCACGTCCTCCGCGATTTAGGCAAAGCCGCCGTCGTAGAGGAAAACACCGGTAAGTGGCGAGCGCAATTGACGTGTGCGTGTTTGCGACTTGTTACGTACATAGAGAGGTATCCGCGCACGTACAAAGCGAACGGACATGGATCGTCCTCGCGCGCGCATCCGCAGCAAGCGCGAGGAAATTGTCGGCGAATTGCAAATCGGCCCGCCGCGCGTAATCGGCCGCTGCGACTCGTCGTGCAATTTGGTTATCCTGACTTCCGGTGATCGATGGTGGTCAGTAGTGTACGAAGGAAAAGTGCTCTGCCAAGGGGCGGACGGCGAAGGGCGAAGGGCGCGAGGTGATTTCGTGAGCATCGAGAGGAGCGAGAGTTGCTGGAGGAGGAGGAGGAGGAGGAGGAGGAGGAGAAGGTGAAACACTTGTGGTATCGGAGAAACAGCTTCTCCTCGAAGACGTAAAATATCAAGCGGGGAAACCTGCACCGTAAGCTGCCGCTGAAAATACCTCGGCTATCGACGCCACCCTTCGGGCCGGAGGCTAGTTATAATCATTTCTCCACGCGCTCGAGATCGCGCGGATTTTTTTTCACGACAGGCACGCCACTGTCTTCGGGTTTGAATCGAGCGACCTGAGTGAATACGGCGATGCGTCGCGTGAGACGCGTGAATGACGTTTCGCGGATGATTCATGGATTCGAGGAGTCGTCCAGTCGCTTGTAGTCGATGAGATTCATTCATGCGAAGACTATCCAGCGTGCGGTGGTATGTGCCGGATAGAATTTCGGACATGAATGGGACCAGATCTGCGACACGCGATTTGCCAAAGGCAGTTTGCACGAAACGATAGCGTGAGGAAGCATTCACGCTATTGTGGTTATTCACTCGCGTCGTCCTCGTGCCTGTTTATGTCTCTTTACGATAGTCTTAGTGGTCGTTCGTCTTGTAGATGCTGCTAGATTGATCCGCGGAGCGGATTTCGCTCGTTTTCCGCATGTTCGCGAATGTTTGCCTGCCCGAGTTCGCTCTGAAATCCATGGATCCTTCGTGACCTCGGGTGACCTCGGTCGAAAGTCCGATCTTGGGATCTATAGATCATTCTGCCGACGTCATTGGCCGCGTTCAGCAGAAAAAGCTTTCCGATTGCTTCATTCCCCTGGATATGTTAAAGATCTAAAAGAATATTCCAATCATAGATAATAATCACCAAGCGCTTAGTAAGCAGCTTTTTCTGCTGAACGCGACCATTGTGTCGTCGACAGATTGCTGATTTTCAGATTCGCAGGAAAGATCTCTCTTCTGGTCTTTTGTTTCTGCGGAAACGAAAGACTTCGAAGTTGCATTCCCGGCTGAATTACTTCTTACCTACCTACTTTTTTTTTTCATTGCATAAAATTACTGTGAAATAATTTCTGCGAGAAAACGCTTGCGACTTCGCCGCAATGCCGCGCTCGTGACACGGATGTAAAGATAATGACGGCTCTTGTATCTTGTTATCATTTACCTTATGCTTCATCTTGTCCCTGTCCGTGACGTTGACGAGGGCCGAGAAGAGAACACTTTGCGACATTGACGTCATTTAGGCTGAGCGAAAGCGAATCTCGATTCTCTCTCTCTCTCTCTCTCTCTCTCTCTCTCTCTCTCTCAGAGACGTCACGAGTAACGTCATACATTTGGGGAATCGATCGAGCCTGTGTATAGGCTCATCTCAATAACTTTCCCACCGGCCGGCCGGAAGCCCGACGAAATAGCTGGAAGCGGCTACACGAGATCTTCAACTTCAATTTCAGCTTCGAGAGTAATTGAATCAATCTTCTCGTGCGCACTCGCCGCGACTCGTTTAGCCTTTCCACACATCTCTCACGTCATTTTTATCGAGTGAAATTAACTTTTAGCATTACGAAAAGGTCATAGGCGCGCAGAGGCGCGCTCGTTCCGTCCGAGAAAAGGAGAGAACGACGAGCAAATTCAACGTTCACGCGCTTCTAAAAGATCCTTTAGAAGACGAGCGGCGATCTGACGTTAAGATCTGCTAATTAATCGCAGAATTAAGGTCGATTCACACTATACGGCACGGACCGTCGCGTACCGGCAATGACACGTACCGGCACCGACACGACAAAACTTTAAAACACACGTTTTAATGAAACTATTCACACTAACCGACACCGATCTGCACGTTCCGTTAACGGGACGTACCGGTATCGATCGACATTCTCACAAGCAATATTTTGACGGTGCGTGTCTGAATCAGTAAGAAAGCGGTAGAAAACGAATGCAGCAGAGGATGGAGAAGGAAAAATTAAGCGAAAATGTCAATATTCTGTCGGTAAAATTACCTCATGGGACGATGTATTTTGTTTCTGTAGTACAAGTTCAATTAATTTTAACAAATCATAAAATTTACATTGCGGCATTCTAAAATACTGATAAAACTTGTCGTCATATTTTAGTAAGTCTTTGAGCAATGTCCAATGTTCTTCTCGAGTCAAGTTTTCTCTTTTTTAACATTGGATGTACTCATTTCCGATTTCTTTTTTTTTATTTTTTCAGTTTGGCTTCCTCTTCGTCTAAAAGTAAGATTGCCAATTTATCGTCGCTGGATGATCCATCCATTGTGACTGCAACGTCAATTGACGGACAGTTACCGGAACAGCCTGAACATATGCATTAATTTGTCGTGTCGGTGCCGGTACGTGTCGTAAGTTGTAAGCCGTAAGAATTGGCGAATCACAGTCGATTATTACAAAAATAATCGGCTATAATTGGTCAGTTCTTACGGCTTACAGCTTACAACATATGTTGTAGACCAGGCCTTACCGGTACGCGACGGTCCGTGCTGTATAGTGTGAATCGACCTTTAGCCTGAAAAACGCTCGCAAGCGGCGCGGCTCCGGTCGAAAAACCAGTCGTC